GCGTACTTCCCCGCCGGTCACGACGAAGCAGAGGCTCGACGACAGCGCATCCAGGACCTCGCGAACCAGATCGCCGACGCGGACTCGACGCTCACACTCCTCATGGGAGATTGGAACTTCGTGGCGGAGGCGGAGGACCGCTGGCGCAAGCAATCGGGACAATGGACTGGCGCCGCTGACCACAGAACGGCGGGAGATTGGGATAGCCACCTGGCATGCCGGCACGGCTTCCACGAGCTGCGCCAACCACTTCCTACATGCGAGTCCGGACGTGCCCTTTCACGCATCGACCGCGTCTGATCCAACCACCGTTGTTCCGACCAGCTGGACCGACATTACTCCGCAACCGCTCTCCCGCACACGCCCCTCTCGCAACATAGACCCGTATCATGTTCCCGTCTGGTCAAGCAGCAAGCCCACGGAACAGTAGGCCACTTCCCCACTGGGCCCCTCCGCCATCCCGATTGGTGCCGCCGCCTGGCCCTTGCATACACGGAGACATTGCGGGATGACCGCGACCGACAGAACCCCCTCCGCAGGCTTAGGACATTGAAGCAGTGCATGACACGAGTAGCTACGAAGATGCACCAAGAAGGACTCGACGCCCACTCCGACGACCCGCGCGATCACCTAGGCTGGACAATGGCATACATACGAGCAGCGGAACGTATAGCCGTACCAGCGATGCAGCGGTGCTTGAATGCTGACCCCCACCTCGTTGCGATATCCCCTGGCGCCGACCCGAAAGCTCGTCTCTCGCCGCGGCTACAAGCAGTCCGACAGCATGCGATGGACCTTGCCCACAACGCCGTCGCGACAGACCTTCTAGCCTTACAACGACAGGAGGCCGATATCAACTCCGGGGATTACCAGCAGCAGAAATCCCACATCCTCACGAAGCTCCGCCGCCAGCAGCCAGGATGCAACACCGCCATCGGCGCAATCCAAACCCCAGACGGCAATCTAGCACACACGCCCCACGACATCGCGCAGGAGCTTGGGGAACATTGGAGCCGAATCTTCACGCGACAACCGGTCAACCCTCACATTTTAGAGCGCTGGATTGCGTCCCTCCCGGCCTTCCTGTCGACCCCCGCCCCAGCACCGACGGGAGCCGACGCCCAGACCCGGTCTGCCACTGCAAACCTGCAACCCACCGACCCACGACCACGGCCACGCCCCGGCCGCCCACGTCGCCACCACGCTCGCCCACCCCTTGACATATCTCCAGACAAGTGGGCATTAAGAGGGGAAGACGTGGAGTCCGCGATAAAGCACTCGGGCAACAGCATGCCAGGCCCCGACGGGATCCCGTACGTCGCTCGGCGGCGAAGCGGCCAGCTCGCCATCAGAGCCCTTTGGGAAGCCGCCGACGCTCTCCAGAGCACCTCGGGGGAGACATGCCTCCGCGAGCTGAGCGATGACGACCCCGCTGGCCATGACTTCCATTTGGGAACCCTCGTCTGTTTGGGGAAGAAGAAGCTGATGTGTGACACAACCCACGGTGACGTTTGCACGGCTGACAGCACGCGCCCGTTATCCATCGCGAATACAGACAATAGGATCATCTCGAACGCTGCACGGAGGCGCTGGAAATTTATTATCAATGCATGGGTCGGCCCTTCGCAACAAGGCTTCTTACGGCACCGATCTCTATTGAAGAACGCTCTCGACGTCGATTTTGCCAGCATGGCCACCGCGCTCCAAAGAGAGTCTGGCGCCATCATCCTCTTCGACTTTGCGTCCGCGTTCCCGTCGCTCTCGCAGGAATACCTGCGCGACATGCTGCGTCATCTGGATCTACCGGCGTCGGCCCGGAGCTTTGTGAAGCACTTGTACGACAATAGCAGGTGCCAGATTGTGAGCCAAGGAGAAACACTGCCAGGATTTCCCTTGACAGTAGGCGTCTGGCAGGGATGCCCCTTGTCCCCTCTACTGTACGCCATCTGCGCGGAGCTGTTGTTGGGCAAGATTCAAGCGATTTGCCCAGGCATCCTGGTTCGTGCGTATGCGGATGACACCGCCGTTGTTTCGACAAACCTCTGGGAGGACGCGCCCCGACTGGCGACCCTGTTCGACGAGTTCGCAGCAATATCTGGACTACGACTCAATTTGCAGAAGACGGTCGTTATACCACTATTCGCGTCCCCGCTACCGACGGTGCGGTCGCGCCTCGACGCGCTGATCCCGGGTTGGTCTACCACCCAACGGGCGCTTGCAGGGAAATACTTGAGCTTCTATGTGGGACCGGACAGCCGGGACTTGCTCTGGAAGGACCCAGAGGCGAAATTTCGGCAGCGTGCCTCGCTGTGGGCGAACCACCCGCTTGGACTGCACTGCTCAGCACTAGCTTACAACACGTTTGCGATATCGGTATTGGGCTTCGTGGCGCAACTCAGCGAGCCGACGGAGGACGCCTTCAACGTGGAGTTACAATGTCTGCGACGGGCCGCACCTGGCCCAGGGAATTGGGGAACTCCAGGGGACCTTTGGTGGCTTCAGCATTCCTACCATTTCCCCAGCGCTTTCCGACGTCTTCGATTTGCCGCTCAAGCAGCGCAATTACGAGTACGACTGTGGGACACGGCCTGCGGCGACCACCCCGCAGACCCGGGCACCCCTTTGGACTTCCACCTCCCCAGCGACCGCGCGCGCCCCCTACCCTTGCCGACCCGTCACCCCACGCCCCCAACAACGCCAATTTCAGCTGCACTTTCAACCGACGCACCCGGTTCCTCAGATCACTACTGGGGACTTCCGACCGCTTGCAAGAGCGAGCCATTTGGGATCGATGGTTTCAGCACTCCTACCACCTCCGATTGGACAACAACTTTTCGGACATGACGGCAACTTTGGGGACGCCCGACGAGTTGCACCGCTCCGTGGCACCGACCCGCCCCGCCCCCTACGCCGAGAAGGATTGGAGCCACATTCGCGCCCCTTTCCAAGCCACCGTGTCTGCTCGATTATTGCAGGCGCACGCGCCGCCGGCCGAGTTTCGCGTCAGGCACAAATACAGACGCTGGGGCCTCAACCTACCCGACCACGCCCACATCACTACCCTATTTCCAGTCCGGCAGCGCACTGAGAACTGGCACGGCCGGGCAGGTCTTCATCATCTTCGACAACTTCGCACGCTGGTGACCCCGAGGGTGCAATCGGCGGTTTTCAGCACAATGTGGAACCGTTGGACCACAGCTCGTCGTTTTCAAGGTGCTGGCACCTGCGTCCTGCGCAGAGTAACCCACACCCAGGACTCGATCGAGCACTACGCCAAATGCCCTGTGGTGAAACGACTTGCTGCACAGTTTCTTCACCTCGACCCGCGACAGTTCGTGAACCTCCATTCTTTCCCGCTGGTGAAACCGTTGGTCAATGCCAAGGAGACCCTCACGACGATCGCCCTGTTGGTTTATGCGACGTACAGGTGCACCAATTTCCAACGATATGACACTTCTTCCAACCTCCCCCCCCCACCCCCGTAACCGAATTCGGCTCCTGGGATGGTGCCAGGGCCGTTTTGGGCATCCAGGACAGATATTTCAGCCTGAAGGTGGGTGAAGCTAGCCGCAGGCGTGCTTGAAGCGACGCCATGAGACCCCCAAAACCCCCATGATTTACCGAAGACGGCATCAGAGGCCCCCGAGACGCCTCAAGAGAGCCCCAAGAGCACCCCAAGAGGGCACCACAGAGCCAAACATTGCCCCAATCCCAGAGGAAAATATATAATGTTAACCATTTGCGTTTCATTCATTTTCGCGGTGTCCAAGACGGCCCAAGAGGCACCCCGATCGCTACAAGAGGGCGCTCAAAAGGGCCCCAAGACAGCCCAAGAGGTCTTCAGGACTGCCGAAGAGGCGCCCAAGACGGCCCAAGAGGGCCGCAAGACCCCCCCAAGAGGACCCGCGAGGGACCAAAGACGCCCATGGGAGCGCCCAAGACAGCCGAAGAGCACCCCAAGGCAGCCCACCAGGCGCCTCAAGAGAGCCCCAGACGCCCTCAAGACACCCTCGAAAGGAACTCCGAAACGACCACACCTCCAGATGACCCCCAAGCGGCCGCCAAGAAGCCTCCAAAGCGCTACCCAGATGCTTCCGGAGGCCCCTTAGAGGCCCCCAGAGACCCCCGACATGCTTCCCAAAAGGCTGCCGAGAGGCCTCCCAAGAGACCCCAACAAGCTTCTAAGTGGCCACGTCTCCACACCCGACACGATGTTCCCAGAGAGGTTTTCTGGTGATATTCATCCGGATATCGGGGACACACTCGAGACACCAATATGCGTCACAGAGATCCCCCAAAGAAGAGGAGAAGGAGGAGGAGGAGGATGACGAGAATGAGGAGAAGGAGGAGCAGGAAGAGGAGGAGGAGGAGGAGGACAGGAGAAGGAGGAGGAAGAGGAGGAGGAGGAGGAGGAGGAGTGGCATGAGGAGGGTGAGGGGGCATTCCTAAGGGGACGGGGATGCTGAGCATTATCCGTAAGAAGAGAGGAGAAGGGCGCGAAAGACGAATGATGGCGAACCGTCGTCTACAAACGCATATCGTCGTCTACATTTACGCCCCCGCTGGAGTCGTAGGATGGTGCGTTTCCAGAGGAAGCGGAGGAGGAAGAAAGAGTAGCCGAGGTGAACACGAGATATTTCGAGAGGTTTCCAAATCCGCCCAACGATGGCAACAGCGGCGTTGAAGTCCAGAGAGTGGTGTTCTGATAGGGTTGAGGAGTCTCAGACAGACAGCTGTCCTCCAACGGGGTACTTCCAGCAGTATATATATATATATATATATATTATTGCAGGGACGTGAAGAGTGAACTTGGATAGCTGGTTGATTGCAACATCGTTGATGGACGCTTTATTGCAACATCGTTGATGCGCTTTGAATTTGCACTGGTCCTCCTCCTCCTCCTCCTCCTCTTCCTCATCCCCCCCCGTCCTCTCTCATCCTCTTCTTCCGGCCCTGCCCTGGCCAGGTACTTCTGTGCGCCCCCCCCCTCCTGTCGCGAGGCCGCCGAGCCGCAATTGCCCCCGCACATGCCGGAGCTGGAGGAGGTCCCTGTGACAGCGGATGTGCAGGCCCAGACGCCCCCAGTCCGGGCTTGTGGCGTTGCCATTTTCCGTGGTGTCGGCATTCCTTTTGCGATTTCGGCCTCCAGGGGTCCCCCCGGGACGTCAAGATTGGGCGAAAAAGCCGAATGCTTTTGGGGCCGCGCGTTGCCGAATATGTTCCCGAAAGGACGCCTAAACAGCGGTTGCTGGTTGCTGCACTCGATTTCCAGCGTCTGTGGTGCAGTCCGTCTATGTGGCATTTTCGATGTGCATTGTCTGAGATCAGTTCATGGGATGCGAGCTACGTGATGCAATGCATGGAGTGGAAAATGCGCGTATGGAAAACAAGTAGATCCTAGGGCCCCGCCCACCTCGGGAACATCGAGTGGTCGTTTTGCACCCCCCCAAGGGGGCCTCCGAGAGGGCCCGAAAAGGGAAGCAAGACGGCGCAAGAAACCGCCAGAACGGACGAAGAATGCCCCGAGATGGGTAAATTGCGCTCGAAGACGGCCAAGATGGCGTCAAATAGGCCCAAGAGAACTCCAAAACGCTTCAAGAGGGCACCTAAGCGGCCCCCAAGACAAAATCATAGATTTGCTTGCGAGGTTTCTGACTGATTTTCCGGCTTCCGCCTTTTCGAGCTAACAACGGGGCTCAAGACTGTTCTGGGGACTTTCGAGCTCCTCCGGGCACGGCCCGAGCGGCTCCCGACAGGGCCCCAAGACAGCCCGTGGAGGGCCCAAGAGAGCCTCCCTGTCCTCCCTCCTTCTCCTCCCGCCCCTTCCCTGCAGCCCCGCCACGGAAAGCAGCCACAAAGCGGCGCGAACGGTCCCGGCACTGGGGCTCTAGACCCCCAGATTCTCTCCGCGGCAGCTCTCGAGCCGGATCGATGCTACGAGGGCCCCAGGACCCTGTTCGCGCACGGCGAGGACGCCGGCATGCGGTGATGGGTTACGCGCAGGCACGCGTACATTAACACCCTTGGGAGGGGGAGAGAGGGAAGGAGACCGCGACGGGAGAAGGACAAGGATGATGGTTTTGTGGCAAGGCGGCCACGCGCCCACTCCTCAGCGCGAGCCCCTGCGGGGCTCGCGCTGGCACGGCGCGCAGCACGAGGCTGCGCGCCTTTCCGGCACGCTCGCTGGCCCATCGGCCACCATCAAAGCAAAACCAACAGCGCAGCCAAAAGAAGTGGCCGCTTGCCTGCAAAAGCGTGGCCTCCCGGGGCGAACGCTGGGCCGCTTCGGCGAGCTCGCCGACGCGTGGCAGCCGCCGTGCTGCCGTGTGCGAAGGCGGCGCTGCGCACCGAGTAAGAAGCAAGGCACGGAAAAGGCAAGAGGCCCAGGTTGGCGGCCGCGTGGCCGCCCAGGACGCGGGCGCCCAGGACGCGGGCGCTCAGGAGGAGTCGTTGGGCTCCTCCTCGGGGCCCCGGGAGTCCAGTGCCAGCCATTTCCCGGCTCGCGGCCCCCAAGCTGGGGCCGCGTCCGGCGCCTGAGGGAGGCGAGTCCAGGGGCAGCCCGTTGCCCGGGTCACCGCCCCAGGAGGTGCGGGGGGCAGTGTCCGACGCCTGACAGACGCGGGACTGGGCGCACGGGGGAGAGGGGGTGGGGCGCTGCGTTGCACACGCAGAAGTGGCGCCAGAGGCGCAAAGAGCAAAATGCCTGAAGTGGACAAGTGCATGCCCCCTTCAGCGAATTGCGATGCCGCGCTCCACGCGGCCCAAGCCTCGGAACCCTGGCCAAGCTTGGGCTGGAAAGGGAGACCTGGCCCCATACTACCCCGGCGCTCCTAGTGGCCTAACCCCTCGCCGCGCCGGGGACGTTGGCAGCTCAGCGCCGCCCGTCTGCTGAGCTCCTCCCTCGCAGGTGCTGGGAGCTCTTGCCCTCCTTCGCCTTGCCGCTCCTCTGCTTGCCTTCGCCATCGCCCCCCTTGCTGCCCTTGGCAGCTGCCCTGCGGCTCGCCTGCACGCGCTTGCCACCGCGCGGTGCGTAGAACGACCCGTCGGGCTTCCTCTTGCAGCCCTTGGGGGTCGGCCGCTGGCGGGGGATGGAGCGGCTGCGCCTCCGCGGGGACCGCGCCACGCGGTCGTCTCGCTCGCGCGGAGACCAGATGCCGGGGGCCAGTCTGGGGCCACCGCTGGCTGCCCGTCCTCGCTGGCCTCCTGCTTCGCGCGCAGCGGCTCCTTGCTCTCCTCCTCGTCCTCCTCCTCGTCCTCCTCCTCCTCCTCCTCCTCCTCCTCCTCCTCCTCTGCGCCCCGCTCGAAGGGGCCATCTGGGCCGATGTCGTCCACGGGCACCTCCTCCTCCTCCTCCTCGCTGGCCTTGCTCTCCTCCTCGTCCTCCTCCTCGCCATCCTGGCTGGAGTCGCCCGGCTGGGCCCGCGCCGCTTCCTCCGCCGTGAGCTTGCAGTAGTTGCACAGCGAGAGGTCGCAGCTCTTGCAGTACCTCCGCAGCGTCCCGGCGTTCGCCTCGCGCCCTTTGCAGTCGGGCGACCCCATGCTGGGTGCAGATCCAGTCCCGCCCCAGGCACCGGTATGTGCTCCAGCGCATCGGCTTCCCGCGCGACTCGCAGTCCGGGTACTCCGGCACCGTCTCCCCCTCACCGTCCGAGCTTGCACCCGCCGCGGGCGGTTCCGAAGCCCACTGCGCCACGACCTGCTAGTCGTCACTCTCGAAGAAGCGGCACCCCGTGCGCAGCGCTCCCAACGCGCGCTGCGCGTCCTCGTGGAGCTCGAGCTCGCGCGGCACCATGAGCTCCCTCTTCCACCGCGCATCGTAGACGAACGCCGCGTGGACCACCGCCCCGCAGGACGTGAACAACTCCCCGAGGCTGCCCATCCTGACCTTGCCCGGGACCCGGGGCGACCTGATCGCTGGCTCCCCCGAGCTCGCGCTGGCACTCCTCCGACGCCGGCTGCGGGCGCGGGACAGCGGCCTGGCTTCGCCCGTCGTGCCCGCGCGGCAGGCCGCCATCTCCTCCTCGGGGCGATCGCGCCTGGGTGCTCTCGCGCATGGGCCTCCGGCGGGGGGGGAAACCTCCGCGCCGCCGCGGCTCCTCCTGTCCCCTGGCCCCCACCTGCGCGCCTCCCGTGGCGCGCGCCTCGGAGCCCGACGGCTGGCCTCGGGGTCCTCGCGCGGCGGGGCCACCTCGCGCGCCCTGCCGGACGCGGGGCCGGGGCCCCCGCCCTGTCCTCCGCCGCGGCCGGCCCCTGTGGCCTCGCCCGCTTTCTGCTGGGCCGGCGCTGGGCTCGCCGTCCTCGGCAAGCGGAGTGGCGCCGGGGCCCGGGGCGTTTTGGGGGCCCGCCTGCGCCACTGCCCGCGCCAAGTTCGCGTCGACTGGGTTGCTCGCCTCCTCCTCGCATCGCATCGCATCGCATAGGTGAGGCTGGAAGTCCGCAGCCTGTACAAGGGTGAAGCCGAGCAGGGCAAAAGAACAGAGTTCGAATTCACGCAGAGGGAGAGAGAGAGAGAGAGAGAGAGAGAGAGAGAGAGAGAGAGAGAGAGAGAGAGAGAGAGAGAACAAAAAAAAAAGGCCCAGGCCTAGCCCTGGCTGCCGCGAGGGCGATTTGTAGACCCGTGAGCCATGCAGTCATCTGCCATCTGACGCTGAACGTAGGGGTCGAGCGGCACGTGGAAAGCCGCCGCCCAATCGGGCATATCCCACTCTGTTAAGGCGCCGCGCGCGCTGGTGAACGTGAGATGGATATCAGCAAGCAGAGAAGAAGCGAGATGACGGCAGAGGGCGCTAGGATAGACTTTGGCACGACCAGTCGTCCAGGATCGATCGCTGTTAAGCCCAAGAAGCGCCACATGCGCGCATCCCCCACAACGGCCCCTCCGAGGCCTGCAGTCCGTGAGCCCCCGAAGCGCAGGACAGTGAACCGAGAGAAGCCGCGTAGGCCTGAGGGATGAGCTGCCAAACTGGCACTGATCAATGTCGACAGTCTGGACGTGGGGCAGACGCGCAAGCCTCACCATCTCGGGGAGATACCAAGAGGAAGGGATGTCGGGCCGAGAGGCACGCGGGGCGGGATGCTCCATGATGCAAGGAACAGAATACCGCCAGCACTGATGAAGAAACAGAATCATCGTCTGCAGCAACGCATTGCCGAGACCCACCTGCTCCGCCTCACGGGGCCTCAGGAAGGGCAGGCCCCACAACTGATCAGGGGACCTGACGGGGCGAGGGGGCCGAGAGGTGCCCTCGCATGGGAGATGGCGCGCCGCGCTCCAGGTTTCGCACGGCGGCCCACCCAGAACACCCAAGACGTGCCCCTGGGCCACAAGACTCAGCCACAGACCCACCGTCTCAGGATCCGTGAGATCCCCTTTGGAAACAGAGTGCGCCACGTCAATGCTAAGAATGTAGACACGCATGGCATGCTGCTGCAACAACTCCTCAAAATGCTGCTGAACGTCCTGTTCTCTGCGATGGCCAGAGAAGAGATGCAGCGCGAATCCCTGAGTCTGAGCCGGCGGGGCCTGGGGCCGAAGACCAACGAGGGGTGGGGGGGGCACCTTGCGGGGCAAGAGGGAGGTGCACAGCCGCCTGTTGGACAAGCGTAGCGGTGGGGAGGGCAGGCCCCTGGAGTCTAACAACGGGGAGACTCGCAAAATTGTCCTGCCTACCAAGAGCCCGGTTATTGCTGTGCTGCTTTTTGCGCTCAAGGACCTGCTCCTGGATCGACTCACTTGGGAGAGGGTGCGTAGCCTGCCACTGCAACAGGCTCTGTCTGCATATGTCGCGCCTATGGATGTGTTTCAACAAGCGAGCGTTGTCACGAAAATCCTGAAGACATGTCTGGCACACGTGTCCAGTCACGCAAAGCTCGGGGGCATCCTGGGACTTGTGAAACTAGGCACGGTGCATGCGAAGCTGCCGAAGCGAAGAATGCACGAACCCGCACTCATAGCAAAGAAAAGAGGCAGGCGGCGGCGGCGGCGGCGGAGCGGCAGCAATCGTTCCAGCAAGGATGCTGTCAAGTTTTTTAGTCCACTGATGGCGCTGAGCCTCTTGTCTCTGAACAA